ATATATAAAGAAAAGGAAAAAGAATAAGAAAAAAAATCAGATCAAGTAATTATCTCATAATAATGTTTATTCTTCTTTGGAGTGTAACTAGAAGTACTTCCTTACAATTTTAAATGTGATAATTTTAACTAGTACTAATCTTTCATATATTATTGAGTAGTTTGACAAAGTACGTGTGACTAAAAGAGATTTTCATAGGGAGTGAGGACAACATTGTCAAATGAATAAGTGATTAATTTATACTATGTACAGTCCTCTCACTCACAGGGTGGAGGTTGCACTGTGAGGCTTGTAAACTTGAAATGGAAAGCTTTCATTTGGAGGAAAGAGGAGTGATTTTCCTTATCCACTGTCTTTGTAGCCACCTCTCATTAGATGTGAGATCCCCATTCCTGCTCTTCTGGAAACAGAGAATCTATTATTAACATCCCCCCACCCCTTATTCTCTTAGCATCTCTTAGAATCAGCTTTTAGGTGTAGGGTAAAGAAAATCTTAGGTGGTTCAGCACTCTATAATTCCACAAAGTCTTTTAATGTAAAAAGGCCTCTCCATGTGTAGTATTTGTGAGTTAATTGGATCATTTTTTTAAATGTGAAAATCTTCCTTTGCTCTTGAGTCATACAAAAACAGATGCTGGGCTAGATTTGGCTCACAGGGCATAGTTTGCCAGCCCCTCGTCTAGCTCATTGTTTCTTAAACTGGGCTGTACTTAGGCTGCTTGTTGAAAATACTTGGATATTCTGGCTTCTTTCTTTGACATTAAATTGGAAATAAACATTCTTAGTAGTGATGCTTTCCCGAAGTAAACCTCTAGGGAAATGTATAATGTACAATGGTGGGGATAGTTTACAAAAAGAAGGACGGATGAAGTCAAATTCCATGAGTAGTGGGCTTTACTTCCTTCAGAAGGTAAAGGGGCTCTTTGCCATGCTCTTTCCCTACTCCCCTTAAACTCCCTTAAAACTTTGTAAATCACATGCTATGATTTTATTTTCATATAATTGCATTAAAGATTAACATTAATTATACAGTGATACTTTTTACTAAAAAAACAGATTATGCAGAAAAAAACTTTCTATAAAGTATAATATGAGTCATTAGTGGAACCTTTTTGTTATCTTCACATTCCCATGAACCTGGGAGTTCCCTTGATGTCATCTGTCAGACTCTGAGGCCTAGATGAGTCTATTTTTTTTTGGAGAACAATGACTAGTTAGGGTACAATTATATATTATAGGTGTATGGCCATGGCACCAATGTCATCAGATCAGCAAATGATCTGTCTAATGAATTTCTTCATCTTACTGGCTGAATTAATCTGTTAATATTATGGAATGAAATACCAAGTTAATTCTATATAAGATGCAGTAAAAATAGCAGATATAAATAAAAGAGAGATGAGGATATAAACCTTTGGACAGAGCTTTACAAGCTTAACTGCAAATCAGTTTAGTGTACAGTGTAAAACTGTAGGTTAATTCTTTAGCGGAAAGGAGCAACTCTGGAAAGAGGGAGCAACTTTTTACAGATTCATTAGTTGGAGACATATTTATTTAATAATCTATTTTAATTTGGTTTTCCTAGCAATTTTTTTCTCTCAATAAGAACTTCTCAGTACTATACAGAATTACATTTCTCAGGAAAGCATAGTCTTAGAGATAAAGAGAGATTAGCTTTTACAGAATTCTAATGAATTTATAAATATCTTTTTCTCTCTTTTGATGTTAATTGAAGTTTAATAATTATCAAAAATATGTTTATTTCAGAAGTTTCACCTCTGGAAGGTGGTACTACTAGGAATAGCGCTTAAACATTCTGGTACTCTATACCGTCTTTAAAAGTATTCCTTGACTTCCCGCCCACACTACAGAGATGGTAAAATAATCAGTGGCTGCAAGAAGTTTAGAGAGAAGAAAGAGATATATGAATAGGTGCAGCAGAGAGATTTTTAGGGTAGGGAAACTATTCTGTGTGAAAGTGTAATGGCAGCTATGACATTATGCATTTGTCAAAACAGAGAACCGCACAACACAAAGACTGAACCCTAATGTAAACCATGGACTTTAGTTAATAATAATAATATATTGATTCATCAATGGTAACAAATGTAACGCAAGATGTTAATAACAGAGGAAACTGTGGGGCACGGGGAGAAGAGGACATATATGGGAACTCTCTGAACTTTCTGCTCATTTTTTCTGTAAACCTAAAAGTTATCAAAAAAAATAAAGTCTACTAATTAATTAAAAAAAAAAGTATTCCTGCTGAGGAAGACATTTGGCTTAGTGTTCCAAAGGCAGACATAAAACTTATATATAGTCAAAGCCCCCAAAGCTTCAAGCAGTATGCCAATCCTAAATAACCAATGTGAATTCCATACTTACTGTATTTTCTGTTAGATTTTTTTTTCAATGTAGTAGAATATGTAGCTGCCTAAGTTCTTTTGGAAAGGGTAGAAACATTATCTGTATAGTTCCTCAGGAGTCCAGGTATCCTGACAAATCAAATACATGAATCAGGACATTAGTTACCAATTTATGAAGATAGATATTATTTGATTAAGCATAGATTATGTCTAGTTGAACACAATTTGCTTGTATATTCCCTCACGCTTTACTTTTTGTCTTAACTTTCAAAATAATGAAAACTAGTTACAGAGCAGTCATGATAGAAAAGTCAGTACTATGATTTGAGAACAGGAGTCAAAGAAGTTCTGAGTATTTGCACTCGTTAGATCAATGTTTAGAAGCACATGAAAATTATTTGCTATCTACCTCCCCTAGTATGTGGAAGGTTCAATATTTATGTCTGTTTGCCATATAAATCAACATTACCTTTCTCTTTATTATCTGTTAGTCATTTACATTTTATGAGTCTTTACCAGTTTTCATAGTGAATGTTTTCTCTTAGGCATTATCTCATTTGAGCCTCACAGTTATCTGCTGAGACAGGAGATTCCAAACATTTTATTATAATCAATTCAATATAATCAAGAGTATATTAAAACTCATGGAGTATTTTTTCTTATATTGTACCTAAATGACATGTAAAATTATAAGTCTATTAATTTTTCTCAGGTTTTATTGAAGATGGAACAAATCTCTTCACATAGATAAAATTCATTTTGATCGTTCTTCAACTTCCTCTTCTAAGCTTGAACTTCTTTGCCTAAAAGACACACTTGTTATGTTATGTTCCACTTTGAGGTTAACAACAAAATATTAACAGCAATTTTGATGTCTTATGAAGGTCCTTTTGGTTGAAAGGAACAGAACCCCAGTCATAGTAGCTTGAGCAAAAAAAAATGGTAAGAACTTAAGTCAAGGATCGTGATTACCTTAGCAAACTCAAAGGCAGAAAGTAGAGTTAATACTTAGGAGGAACTGGAATCAGGAACCCAGGTAAAAAATATTTCCATCTTTTCTCTAGAGGTGTATGATCTCTTGTTTTTACCTCCTTTATGTATACCTGTTTTATTCTTCACACTCTCTGCACATTGGCTTTTTTCTACTTCTCTAGGCATATGACAGACATTGCTTTTCCATAGTGCCTTAGATTGCTTGTCCTCTTTTCAAACAACCAGCAGAAAAGACTGTTCTGAATTCTAACTCTAAATCCCCAGGAAAAGTGAATCTGAATGCTCCACGTTAGGTCAAACGCCAGTTACCTACAACCAAGGGACTGGGTAACATAGCACCAATGCAGCATTTGGGAATGGCCATTAATTCATGGAAAGTAGAGGCTAGGAAGACAACTCACAATGTGTCTATCATGTCTGCCATTATACTTAAATATTAATTTTGAAGTTATACTTTGGAAAGGTTCTCACTATGACTGTCCCTTAAGCACAGGAGAAGCTAATGAAGTGAAACCCTCTCCTCAATCAAATTGTTTAGGTGGGCTACGTTTCATGTTAAATGCAACTGAGAAATTATAACTTTGTTTATGATTTATTTTGCTTTGCAGCCAATAACTACAGCTAGCTCATCAAGTGAACCCATATTTCCCCTTCAAGGTATATCCCTTCAAAATGAAATAGCACCTGACAGATTTGAATATTTTTCTCCAAAAATGCTCAACACTCCAAGGTAAGCCTCACTGATAATCAGGTCTGCATACATACAATCTTAACTTAGAGTAGAATATAGAAATAATTTACTTTTATTTTCCACTAATTTTTAACATGATATTCAATTCGCAAAATAATGATGAATTGATTGGATATGGACAAGAAAATAGTACCTTGCAAAGAAGTAGCCTAGTCAGGCAATTACTTTCAGGTGCGTTGGAAAGCAGTTAATGTGAGGGTAAATGCAAGTGAGTGTGAAATCTGCCTACACTGGTATTCTTCCAATTTATTCACAAGAAGATTAGTGGTGTCTCTTTCTTTCTACAGCCTGATAAATAGAAACATGTACTCCGTAATATTTTCCTACAGAGGGATTTTCGACAGAGAAATAATGTATTTGCTGACATTTGATGAATATTTTTTAAAGTACTCATGTTTGTCTTTTCTTTAAGTAATGAAGGAGCAGTTATGATGCCACGTGATGAAGGAAACAAATTTGAAACAGAAATTTCTGATACAAAAGGTTCTGAAACTTCAGCTGGTTCTTTGCACCATAAAAGTCTCCAAGACCTAACAGTAGTTGAAAGTGACACGCCTCTGCTGGACTCTGGCTCTGAGAGATGTGCGATGGATTCTGACTCTGATAGAGGCATTGGTTTGGACTCTGACTTAGAGCAACACTCGAAAGACTCTGACTCAATATTATGGGGAATGGACTCAGACTCAGAAAAACATCTCATGGACTCAGACTCTGTGAAATGCCAAGCAGAAAAATACCAAATGGCTTCAGGCTCTGGGAAAGACCTTATGGAGTCGGAGCAACACCTAGTAGGAGTTGAACAATGCCAGGTGGACTTTGAGTCTCTGAAACACTGGATGGACTCAGATTCAGAAAACTGCTTGGAAGATTCTGACTCTGAAGAATATGTGATGGACTCTGACAGTGAAAAACCTGAGATAGACTCAGACTCAGAAAAATACCCCATAGCTTCTGCATCTGTGAAACACCTGCTGAAGGCAGAAAAATGCCAAATGGCCTTAGATTCTGTAAAACGCCTGATGGAATCTGAAAAAAGATTGATGGAGACTGAACAACACTGTATGTTCTCTGCTTCTGAGAGGTATGTGATGGACTCAGACGTGGAAAGTGATGGAATGGGCTCAGCTTCTGCACCTGGGGTACATTTGATGGGAGAAGAAAAACACCAGGAGAAGACTAGATCTAAGATATATATGATGGACTCTGAGTCTGAAACATGTAGGATGGACTCAGAAAGATATGGGCTAGCCTCAGGAGCTGTGAAATGTCTCATGGATGCTAAAACATCCCAGTTGAGCACTGACACTGAGAAGCGCTGGATGGATTTTTGGTCTGAAAGACGCACAACAGACTTAGATTCTGAAAGCCTGGGGATAGCTTCTGATTCTGTGAAACACATGATGAAGGCTGAAAATTGCCAAAGGGCCTCTCACTTGGAAAAATTCTGGATGGACCTCAGGTCTGAATCTGAAAGATGCTGGACTGATTCTGAAAGACAAGAGTTGGACTTTGGCTATGGAAGATGCTGGGACAGCTCTAGAATATATCGACATAGGTCTGCAAGACTTCAGGGTAGCTCTGAAAGATGTCAGGATGACTTTCAAAAAGAGTGGGATAACTTAGAAAGACATGAAATAGACTCTGATTCTGAAAAACATCAAGCAAATTCTGATAATGAAAGATACCAAAATAAGTTTGAAAGTGAAAGACACATGATGAAGATGAAGAGGAAACAGTGTCTGATACAATCTGAAAATCAGAGACTTCAAGTGGATGAAAAGAGGGAAAGATATCTTGTGGAGTCTTACAGCGAAAAAGAGCACAGGATTGTATCTGACAATGAAAGACACCACCTTGACTCAGAAAATGAAGCGCAACGGCTTGGTGCTCGCAGAAAGGATAATCGTCCTCAGGGTAAGCTTAAATGTGTGTGGCTTTTGAAAGCAGCTTGTTTACAAGTTTAATAACATGATGACACTTCCAAAATGACAGTAGCTTTTTTTTTAATCTAGATTTTGAAATTTACTGGTGTAAAATTGTTAACAATATTTGTTTAATTTCTATCAGAATGCCTCCTCTTTCACAAATGATATTGGCCGTTTGCTTTTTCACACTCTCCTTTTTGTTGTTGTTTTTAACTGAGGTAACATTGGTTTATAACATTATATGTTTCAGGTGTACAACATTATAATTTTATAATTTGACATCTGTATATACTACAGTGTGCTCACCACCAAAAGTGTAGTTTTCATCCATCAGCATATAATTGACCCCCTTTACCCAATCTGAAAATCAGAGACTTCCCCCGACACCCTTTCCCTCTGGTAACCACCAATCTGTTGTCTGCTTCTATGAGTTTGTTTTTGTTTTGTTTTATTGTTTGGTTTAGTTTTTTATATTTCACATTGAGTAAAATCATATGGTGTTTGGCTTTCTCCGTCTGACTTATTTCACTTAGCATATTACCTTTGAGGTCCATCCATGTTGTTGCAAATGGCAAGATTTCATCTTTTTTTATGGCTGAGTAGTATTCCATCATATATGTATACCACATCTTTATGCATCCATCCATTGATGGGCACTTAGGTTGTTTCTATATCTTGGCTTTTATAAATAATACTGCAATGAACATAGAGGTGCATATATCTGTTTGAATTAGTGTTTTCATATTCTTCGGATAAATACCCAAAAGTAGAATAGCTGGATCATATGGTACTTCTACTCTTAATTTTTGGAGGAATCTTTATACTGTTTTCCATAATGGCTGCACCTATTTACATTCTCACCAATAGTGTATGAGGTTTCCCTTTTCTCTACATCCTCTCCAACACTTGTTATTTCTTGTCTTTTTGATAATAGCTTTTCTAACGGGTGTGAGGTGATATCTCATTGTGGTTTTGCTTTGCATTTCCTTAATAATCAGTAATGTTGAACATCTTTTCATATGCCTGTTGGCAGTCTGTATGTCTTCTTTGGAAAAATGTCTATTCAGATTCTCTGCCCAATTTTTAATCGGGTTGTTTTTTTGTTTTTGAGTTGTTTTGTTTTGTTTTGTTTTTGAGGGTTTTTTTTTTGTTTTGTGTTCTTTATATATTTTGAATATTTAACCCCTTATCAAATATATGATTTGCAAATATCTTCTCTCATTCGGTAGGTTGTCTTATTGTTTTGTTGATGGTTTCCTTTAGTGTGTAGATGCTTTTTAGTTTGACGTAGTCCCATTTGTTTATTTTTGCTTTTGTTTCCCTTGCTTCAGAGGACATATCTAAGAAGATTTTTCTAAGACCAATGTCCAAGAGCATACCACCTATATTTTCTTCTAGGATTTTTATGGTTTCAGGTCTTACATTTCAGTGTTTAATCCGTTTTGAGTTAATTTTTCTGTGTGGTGTAAGATAGTGGTCTACTTTCATTCTTTTGCATGTGGCTGTCCAGTTTTCCTAACACCATTTATTGAAGAAACTTTCCTTTCTCCATTGTTTGTTCTTGGCTTCATGTCATAAATTAGTTGTCCATATATGTATGGGGTTATTTCTGGGATCTCAATTCTGTTCCATTGACCTGTGTGTCTATTTTTCTGGCATTACCACACTGTTTTGGTTACTAGAGCTTTGTAGTATAGTTTGAAATAGGGAGTGTGATACTTCTGGCTTTGTTCATTTTTCTGAGGATTGCTTTGGCTGTTCGAGGTCTTTGGTAGTTCCATACAAATTTTAGGATATTTTTGTTTTATTTCCGTGAAAAATGCTGTTGGGATTTTTGACAGTGATTGTACTGAATCTGTAGATTGTTTTAGGTAATATGAACATTTTAACAATGTTAGTTCTTCTAATCCATGAGCATGGAATATCTTTCTATTTCTTTGTGTCTTCTTCAATTTCTTTCAGTAACGTCTTATAGTTTTCAGTGTACAGGTCTTCCACTTCCTTGGTTAAATTTATTTCTAGGCATTTTATTCTTTTTGTTGCAATTGGAAATGGGATTGTTTTCTTCAATTCTCTTTCTGATAGTTCATTTTTAGTGTATAGAAACCCAATAGATTTTTGTATATTGATTTTGTCCTCTGGAACTTTACTGTATCCCTTTATTATTTCTAATAGTTTTTTTTTTTTTGTGATGTCTTTAGGGTTTTCTGTATATAAAATCATGTCTGTAAATAGTGACACCTTTACCGCTTCCTTTCTAATTTGGATGCCTTTTATTTCTTTTTCTTGCCTAACTGCTCTGGCTAGGACTTACAATACTATGTTGAATAAAAGTGGTGAGAGTGAGCATCCTTGTCTTGTTCCCCATCTTAGAGGAAAAACTTTCACTTTTCACCATTGAGTATGATGTTAGCTGTGGGTTTGTCATGTATGGCTTTTATTATGTTGAAATACTTTCCTTCTGTACCCATTTTATCGAGAGTTTTTATAATAAATGGATGTTGAATCTTGTCAAATGCTTTTTCTGCATCCATTGATATAACATTTTTATTCTTTAATTTGTTCATGTGGTGTATCATGTTGGTTGATTTGTAGATGTTGAACCATCCTTGCATCCCTGGAATAAATCCCACTTGAACATGATGTATGATCTTTTTAATGTATTGTTGTATTCGGTTTGCTAATATTTTGGTGAGAATTTTTACTTCTATGTTCATTAGAGTTATTGGCCTGTAATTTTCTTTTTTTGTTGTCCTTGTCTGGTTTGGTATCAGGGAAATATTGGTTTTATAAAATGAGTTAGGGAACATTCCCTCCTCTTCAATGTTTTGGAAGAGTTTGAGAAGGATAGGTATTAAATCTTCTTTGAATGTTTGGTAGGATTCACCAGTGAAGCCATCTGGTCCTGGACTTTTCTTTTTTGAGAGGTTTTGATTACTGTTTCAATCTTTACTAGTGATCAATCTATTCAAATTTTCTATTTCTTCATGGTTCAGTCTTGGAAGGTTGTATGATTCTAAGAATTTACTCATTTCTTCTAGATTTTCTAATATGTTGATGTATAGCCATTTATAGTAGTCTTTTATGATCCTTTGTATTTCTGTTGTATCTTTTGTAACTTTTCTTTCATTTTTGATTTTATTTATTTGAGCCCTCTCTCTTTTATTCTTAGTGAGTATAGCTAAAGCTTTGCCAACTTTGATATTTTTTCAAAAAACAAGCTCTTAGTTTCATGGATCTTTTCTAGTATCTTTTTAGTTTCTATTTCATTTATTTCAACTCCGATTTTCATTACTTCCTTACTTCTACTGTCTTTGGGCTTCATTTGTTCTTCTTTTTTGAGTTCCATAGATGTAAGTTTAGATTGTTTATTTGAGATTTTTCTTGTTTATTGAGTTAGGCCTGTACTGCTATAAACTTCCCCTTAGTACTGCTTTTGCTGCATCCCATAGATTTTGGTATGTCATATTTTCATTTTCATTTGTCTCTATGTATTTTTTTATTTCTTTGTTGATTTCATAATTGGCCCAGTAGTTGTTCAGTGGCATATTGTTTAATCTCCACATTTTTGTCACTTTCCCAGTTTTTTTTTCATGGTTCATTTCCAGTTTCATAGCCTTATGGTCTGAAAAGATGCTTGTTATGATTTCAATTTTTCTTAAATTTATTGAGGCTTGCCTTGTTTCCCAGCATAAGGTCTATCCTTCAGAGTGTTCTATGCGCACTTAAGAAGAATCTGTATTCTGATGCTTTTGGATGGAATGTTCTGTATATATATATTGAGTCTATCTGGTCTAATGTTTAATTTAAGGCAAATGTTTCCTTGTTGACTTTCTGTCTGGATGATCTATCCATTGATGTAAGTGGTGTATTAAAGTCCCCTACTATTATTGTATTGCTGACAATTTATCCCTTTAGGGAGAAACAGTTGCTTTATATATTTTGGTGCTCCTATGTTAGTTGCATATACATTAATGAATGTTATGTTTTTTTGATGGATTGTCCTTTTTATCTTTATATAATGTCCATCTTTGTCTTTTGTTACCTTTTTTGGCTTGAAGTCTATGTTTTCTGATATAAGTATGGCTACACTTGCTTTCATTTTGCTACCATTTGCTTGAAGTGTCACCTTCTACCTCTTCACTTTGAGCCTATTTTTGTCTTTAGAGATGAGATGAGTCTCCTGAAGGCAGCATATAGTTGGATCTTGGTTTTAATCCATCCAGCTACTCTGCGCCTTTTGATTGGTGAGTTCAATCCATTTACATTTAGGGTGATTATTGATATATGAGAACTTAGTCCTGCCATTTTATCTTTATTTTCTGGTTGTTCTATGTCTCCATTGTTTTTTTTTTCCCCTGTCTTTTTGTCTACCATTTTAGTTTGGTGATTTTCTATGATGTTTTTTTCAGTTTCCTCTTTTTTTACATTTTGTGTCTCTGCTCTAGATTTTTGTTTTGTGGTTACCAGGAAGTTTGTATACAACATCTCGTAGATAAATAGTCCTCTTTCTGCTGATAGCATCTTATTCATTTGCCTATGCAGGTTCCATCATTTTCCTCCTCCCCTTTTATGTTTTTGTTGTCATAAATTATCCCTTTTTATGTTTTGAGTTCATTACCATATTGAAGTAGCTGTACTTATCAAAATGGCAGTAGCTTTAACAGATTTGATCCTGAGATCATTTTATCAGAAATTCAGAGAAAAGACATTTTAATCCCAGATTTCCAATTCACTTTTAAAAATTAGGCAAATCATCTCTTTTTAGTTATCTCCTTATCTTAAAAGAAGGAAAATTAAGAATTATTAGCAAAGATGGTTATTCTGGTCTAGGAAACAGCATGTTGAATTTAACTTCCATCAGTCTGGAATGGGTGAATAGAGATTGCTCACAAACCTTTCCCCATTGTCAGTTACTGTGAAGAGAATAAGCATCCAAGCCTAACTGTATAAACATTCAACTTATCTTGTTTCTCTCAAAGTTATTATAAAAGCTCTTTAATTTTCAATAAATAGTTGGCGTTACCATGTTAGTCACATTTAGTACACCACACTAAATCATTAAATTCTCTATTTCCTAAGCCATTTTATTAAGGTATGTTTATTATGATAAGGGAACTATTATTATCTCATGGATAGTGTTTTTCTTCACATTAGTCATTTTCCACCAAGCCTTTCAGCTACAACTCGAAGCACACAAAAAACTAATAACTTCCCCTAAGCATTCATAAGATACCTTCCTTCTGAAAAATAACATGAAGTTCTATTCCTCAATAAACTCCAGTGACTTTTCAAAAACTGAGTATTTGAAATAATATGTATTTAATTTATTATCAGTGTTTCTTATTTTAATATGCCATTTCCACATGAGTCTTGAAATTTGTCCTGTATAATACTGACTTTTTCATGTCATATGCTTTTATGTGGGTGGAGTATTGAATCCAATAAAAATAAAGTACACTACATATTTTTGGGCATTTACTAACACAAAGTGCTATGCAGAGATTGCCATGGTAGTCAGACAGGTACATTTATCTTCAAGCCATTAATTCAACTGGAATAACTGTGTGATATTTTATTTGAACAGTCAAAGGAAAATATTCGTCTGATTTATTTATATTCCCTGAGAAAAATTCTGATTTCTTGTTGAAATGCAATTCTATTGGAGAAGATTAAGTAATGTGAGAAATTAATTTCTGAGATCCTTTTATAAAGCAGCATATTGGTGGAGTGGTGATAAATGTATTACTTTTTTGTGAGGAGAGGGAAAAAATCTTAAAACAATGTTTTCACTGGATTTGAATTTAGTAACACTAAGTTAATTCTCCCTTAATCCAATATCATTCTGTTCTAATACCTCTCAATGAGGTAATACTAGCAATCCTATAAGAATTGCATTAATCAGCATAGAGGGTATAAAGATTCACATTTCTCATTCAACTTCAGTTTTTAATATTTTCAAATACCATCTGATAAAAGTCCAGTAAAGGTGCAAAACTATTGCTCAGGGACTCAACTTCATTGTTATTGATGTGCTTTGTAAATTTTTTTCAATCAAATGCTTACTGTATGCTCAGCATATATTATAATAAACATATAAAAGTATAATATCTTAAACTTATATAGCACCTTTCAAAGTCCATTAATGTAAAAATAATACTAGCATCTGATGTTGATTGTGTCAATCACTGTGCTACACAAATCACATGCATTATTACATCTAAGCCCATTCACTGTTGTCATCTCCATTTACCGATAATAGCTAAGCTTTATACAGCATATCCAGTAACTGTTCTAAGCATTTTATGTATATTAATTTGTTAGTACCAATTCACTAGCACAAATTAATTAATACTGACTCACTAGATTTATATGTATGAATTCATTAAAAGTTCACAACAACCCAAGGATGTAGGCATTATTATCATCTCTGTTTTACAAATGAAGAAACTGAGGCACAAAGAAGTTATGTAATTAACCAAAGTCAGACAATAAATGAGAGCCAGGATGTGAACCCGTGCTCCAAAGTCTGTGCTGTTAAACTTGAAGACATACTATCTCTCTGCTCTAAGAGGTATGTACTATGCCAGTTTTACAGTGAGGACAATGAGGTTAAAATTTTCTGCTGACTTTTCTTGGACTTTGAACCTAGGTTTATCTGACTCCAGAGCCTGAATTCTTAATCAAGTTTAATTATGTTACTTATATCTCAACTCTTTTTTAACCTCATGATCTTCTAATTTAGAAAGAACTACTACACTATAGCATTATTGTACCTGCTTCAAAAATGGGGAAACTGAGGCTCAAGCAGACTACTTCACTAAATGTTACATAGGCAGTTAGTTGCTAAGCTAGAGCATAGAAACATCTAGGCTAGTGTTATCTCAACTATATCTTTGATTTCATGAAGTTTATAATCTAATTGAGAAAATAATATTATTCCACATGAAACTAGTCAATTAACTACACTTTCTATGAGTCTAATTTTTTATAAAAGGCTTTGACACCTTTGAAAAATTTGCAACTGGACAGTAATTATCTAATTTGTGAATTATTATTAATATAAAACATGCATTGATATATGGTCAATCCACAGGTGGAATCTCTTCCAAACATAAAACCAAAATTTTGCTAGCTGCTTCCACCCATCTTCAGCTGTTATATATTGAAAATATAAACTGATAGGCTAAATGTGATTTAAAAAATCCTGGAAATAAAATTGAAGCCTATGGGCATAGAAAAATTGCTGTTTGTGCTAGTCATCTCATATTCACTCCCAAATGAGCAATACACTCCTCTTAAAGTCAGCTTGCACCGTGTCAGTCTCTTCTCTATGCCGTCTTATAGTGAAGAGATAGAAGGAAAAGCAGCTTTGCTGAAACTCCCAGGCCCAGAATTAAGTTTCTTTGTTCCTGTGACTACAAAACCTAAATGATAGTAGTTATTTTTTTTTAACAAATGAACAGTTGATTGCAAAACCCCTTAATTTTTATTTTGTCTTTTTTACAAAATGCCTTTTCTGAGAACAGTCCAGAGCTCATTGATAATATTAACTCGTATTCTCAACTTCTATGTTTATAAGTCATAATGATGCTTAGAATTTATGTTGCACTTTAAAATTTTACACCAAGTACTATCATTTTGGGATCATTGAACTGAAATCTCCGTTCTGTCTGACACAATCACATATCCATATCCCCTCACTCCCATACTCCACCATAGCCTATTGTTAGCCTTTTTGTTCATTTAAAAAAATTGTGGTTAAATATACATTACATAAAATTTACTATCCTAACCATTTTAAGTGTACAGTTTAGTAGTGTTAAGTACATTCACATTCTTGTGCAACCAACCTCGAGAACTCTTTTCATCTTGCAAAACTAAAACTCTATACCCATTAAACAATAACTCCCCATTCCCCTGTTCTCCCATTCCCCCAGTCTATGGCAACCACCATTGTACTTTCTGTATCTATGATTTTGACTACTCTAAGTATGTCATATAAGTACTTATCTCATATATAGTATTTGTCTTTTTGTGCCTGGCTTCTTTGAATTTGCATAATATCTTTGAGGTTCATCCATATTGTTGCATGTGTCACAATTTCCTTTCTTTTTAAGGCTAAATAATATTTCATTGTATGCTTATACCACAGTTTGTTTGTCCATTCATCTGTCAATGGACATTTGGGTATCTTCCAGCTTTTGGCTATTGTAAATAATGCTACTATGAACATGTATGTACAAATATCTCTTTGAGATTCAATTCTTTTGGGGTATATAATCAGAAATAGAATTGTTGTATCATATGGTAATTCTATTTTTAAATTTTGAGGAACCGCCATACTGTTTTCTATGATGGCTGTACCATTTTACATTCCCACCGACAGTGCAAAAGTGTTCCAATTTCTCCACATCCTCACCAACACTTGTTATTTTTTGTGTTTTTGATAGTATCCATCCTAATGAGTGCTTGGTAGTCAATTTTATACCCACTATTTCATTTATTAGGATAAGAACTGGCTACAAAAATTTTTAGAGAGAGTTAACTGATCATCTGCTGAAATTTTATATGGGGCAAATATATCACCAGTATATGGTGGAATATTTTTAACTTAGTTTTCAGTATTGTTTTAATAAACTTCATGAAAATTGAGAAGAGGATCACCATTACTAGTATATTTGAAGAAAAATAGTATTCTCAGAAACAATTTTTCACTACAGAATCATATAATATAAATTTTTCCTTTCTACAATCTTATTTTATTAGTAATTGGAAAATAATGGAGTCTATTTAATATGTTTATAGGTTTTTGGAGGCCTGTTTTCCTGTCACCTCCACTTGGCCAAGGAAGGGAAACCGAAGAACAACACTCAGTGCAACAAATTGATAACAAAGGTGAATATATTCAAAATAAATTGACTAAGGATTTTATATAGTCTTTGTCAATATTTGGAAAAATTTAAGTCAGGACTTGTTGTATCAGGGATCCCCAAGACAATATCCAGGTACAATGATTCTCTAGGAGGATTCACTGGACTCAGCATACAGTAGTTACTCAAGGATATGATTTACTACAGCAAGAGGACACAAAATAGAATAAAATCAGTAAAGGGAAAACACACATGGAGTAAGTCTAGCAGAAAGTAGGTACGAGGTTCCAAGAGTCCTTTCTCAGTGGAGTCACACAAGAGCTATTTAATTCATCCACTAACAACTTACGACAACATATATGAAATGTTGTCTACCAGGGAAGCTCATTAGATTCTCAGTGCCCAAGGTGTTTTTTTTAAACAGCTTTATTGAGTAAGAATTCACTCATTAAACTATGCAATTCAGTGGTTTAAGTATATTCACAGATATGTGCAGCCATCACAACAGTAAATTTTGGGACATTTTTATCACCATAAAAGGTAGCCCTGTATTCTATGGTTATCATCTGTCTAACTCTTCCACTCCCCCTAGCCCTACGAAAGCACTAATCTACTTTCTTTATCCGTAGATTTCTCTATCCTGGATATTTCATATGAATGCAATCATATAATACATGGCCCTTTATAACCGCCTTCATTCAATTAGTATAATGCTTTCAACGTTAATCCCTATTGTAGCATGTATCAGTATTTTATTCTTTTTATGACCAAATAATATTCCATCATATGGATATATTGCATTTTTTTGTGTGTGTTTGTCAATTGATTACAACTTTTGGCTGTTATGAAGTACATTGCTATATTTATGTACTTAGACGTGTTTTCATTTCACTTGGACATATACCTAGGAGGGGAATTGGTGGGTCTTATGGTTACTCTATGTTTAATCACTTAAGGAACTTGCAGACTGTTTTCCAAAGTGAAGGCACAATTTTACATTCTCATCAACAGTGTATGAGGATTCCTATTTCTCCACATCCTCATCAACACTTGTCATTATCTGACTTTTTATTTTAGCCATCCTAGTAGATGTGAAATGGAATATCATTGATGTTATTGATTTATATTTCCCCAATGACTAATGATGTTGCATATCTTTTTATGTGCTCTTTTACCATTGTATATCTTACTTGAATAAATGTCTATTCAGATCTTCTTTTATATTTTTATTATTTTTTGTTATTGAGTTGTAAGTGTTCTTTATATATTCTGAATACATGTTTCTTATCAGATATGTGATTTTCAAATATTTTATCCCATGCTGTGGGTTGTCTTTTCATTTTCTTGATGGTATCTTTTGAAGCACAATTTTTTTTTTAATTTTGATGAAGTCCAAATTATCTACTTTTTTCCTCATAGTGTGGTTGTCACATCTAAAAATCATTTGCCAAATCCAAGATTGTGAAGATTTATGTGTGTGTTTCTTTCTAAGACTTTTATAGTTTTAGTTTTAACATTTAGTTGTTTGACCCATTTTGAGTCATTTTTTGTTTATGATGTGATGTGAAAGAATGACTCATTCTTTTGCATGTGGCTGTCCAGTTGACCCAATACTACTTGTTGAAAAGACTATTCTTTCCCCATGGAATAGTTTTGGCACACTTGTAAAAATCAGTTGACCAGAGACCCATGGTTTTATTTCTGGATCTCAGTTCTATTCCATTTATCTATTTGCCTATCCTTGTGCAACCCCACATTGTCTTAATTACCGTTGATTTGTAGTAAGTTTTGAAATCTGGAAGTATAAGTACTCCTACATTCTTCTTCTTTTAAAGACTATTTTGGTTATTTCAGTTCCATTGCAATTCCTTATGAATTTTAGGGTTAGCTGGTCAATTCATACAAAGAAGTCACCTGAGATTCTGAAACAGATTGCATTGAATCTGTAGATCAATTTGTGAAGTATTGCCATCTCAACAATATTAAATCTTCTGATCCATGAGTATGGAATGTTTCTCCATTAATTTAGATCTTTTTAAATCTCTTTCAACAATGTTTTGTAGTTCTCAGAGTATGATTTTTGAACTTCTTTTGTTAAATATATTGCAAAATATTTTATTTTGTTGATGCTATTATAAATTGAGTTTTTTTTCATAATTTAATTTTTGGATTCTTCATTGCAAGTGTATAGAAATACAATTGATTTTTTAATATTGATCTTCTATCTTAAATCTTAATGAACTCATTTATTAGTCCTAATAGTTTTTAGTAGAGTGTTTTTATCATGAAAGGGTGTAGGGTATTGTCAAATGTGCTTTCTGCATGTATTGATATGATTATGTGATTTTTTTATTCTATTGATATGATGTGTTACATTAATTGATTTTTTTCATGTTAAAATTGATTTTGCATCCCTAGGATAAATCCCAGTTGGTGATAATGTATAATCCTCCTAACATGCTGCTGGATTCTGTTTTCTAATATTTTCTTAAGGATTTTTACATCTATATTCATAAGAGATATTGGTCTATAGTTTTCTTTTATTATGATGTCTTTATCTGGCTTTGTTATCAGGGTAATTCTGGCCTCAAAGGATGTGTTAGGAAGTGATCCTTTCTCTTCTGTTTCATGGAAGAGTTTGAGAAGGATTGGTGTTAATTATTCTTTAATTGTTGGTTGAATTCACCAGTGAAATCATCTGGTCCTGTGCTTTTCTTTCTTGGGTGGTTTTTGATTACTCATTCAGTCTCTTCAATTGTTATAGGTTTGTTCAAAATTTTTACTTCTCCTTCTGCCAGTTTTGGTACTTTATGTGTCTAGGAATTTATCCTTTTCATCTAGGTTATCTAATTTGTTGGCATACAATTGTACATAATATTCTCCTATAATTCTTTTTATTTCTGTAAAGTCTTCAGTAATGCTCCACTTTCACTTCTGTTTTTAATAATTTTAGTCTTCTCTCTTTTTTTCTTAGTCAGTCTAGCTAGAGACTTACCAATTTTGTGATCTTTTCAAAGAAGTAACTTGGTTTTATTGATTATCTCTGTTGGTTTTCTATTCTCCATTTCAGTTATCAATACTCTAATCTGTATTATTTCCTTATAGATGTAGATTTAACTTTCTCTTCTTTTTCTAGTTCTTTAAGGTGTAAAGTTAGGTTATTGATTTGGAATCTTTCTTTCTAAATGATGTAAGCATTAAAAGCTATAAATTTCCTCTGATCACTGTTTTTTCTGGATTCCATCACTTTGGGTATGTTGTGTTTTCATTTACTTGCATCTCAAAGTATTTTCTAATTTCCTTTGGAGTTTGCCTTTAACTTCATTGGTTTTTTAAGAGTATGTTGTTAAATTCCTACATATTTGTGAATTTTCTAGTTTTCCTTCTGTTAATAATTTCTAGTTTCATTCACTTGTAGTTAGAGAAAATAATTTGTATTGTTTTATTCCATTAAATTTACTGAGTATTTTTTTTGTGTGTGTGAGGAAGATCAGCCCTGAGCTAACATCCGGGCCAATCCTCCTCTCTTTTTGCTGAGGAAGACTGGCCCTGAGCTAACATCTATTGCCAATCCTCCTTCTTTTTTTTTTCCCCTTTTGCTCCCCAAAGCCCCAGTATATGTATGTCATAGTTGCACATCCTTCTAGTTGCTGTATGTGGGACGCCGCCTCAGCATGACCCAACAAGCAGTGCATCGGTGCGTGCCCGGGATCTGAACCCGGGCCACCAGCAGTGGAGCACGCGCACCCAACTGCTAAGCCAGGGGTCTGGCCCCAAATTTACTGAGTTTTTTAATGGCATAGCGTATAGTCTATCCTGGAGAATGTTCCATGTGCACTTGAGTATAATGTATATTCTTTTGTTGTTAGGTGGAATATTTTATCAATGTCTATTGGTTTTAATTGGTTTATAGTGTTGTTCAAGTTTTCCATTTTCTTGTTAATCTTCTGCCTAATTGTTCTACCCATTACTGAATATGGGGTACTGCAATCTCCAACTATTATTGATATATTTTCTACTTCTTCCTTCATTTCTGTCAGGTTTTCCTTTATGTATTTAGGTACTCTGTTATTAAGTGCATATATATTTATAATTGTAATATCTTCCTCATGGGTTGACAGTTTATCATTTTAAAATGTCCCTCTTTATCTCTAGTAAAGTTTTTGTTTTAAGTTCTTTTTTATGATATTAGTATAGGCACTCCAGCTTTCTATGGTTGCTGTTTGCATCATAATATATTTTCCATTCTTTAACTTTCAATCTGTTTGTATTTTAGAATCTAAAGTAACTCCTCTAGGCAGCATATAGTTGAATCTTATTTTGTTATCTAGTCTGACAGTCTTTGCCTTTTGATTGGATTGCTTAATCCAATCACATTTAATATTACTATTATTATAGTCAAATTTATGTATGCCATTGTATTTTTCATTTGCTATGTGTCTTACGTCTTTTTTGTTCCTCTATTCCTCCTTTACTGCTTTCTTTTGCTTTAAGTGAATATTTTCTAATGAAGCATTTAATTTTTTGTCAAGATTTTCTCACTATTTTTTGTTTATTTCCTTAGTGGATGCCCTATGGCTTACCATGTACAACTTATCAGAATCTCCTTCAGACTTATGATAACTTAATTCCAATGAGATATAGAAATGTTAGTACTATATTTCTCTATTCTTTCTCCCCATTTTATATAGTTTTAATGTTATACGTATGGTATGTATTCATGTTAAACACCCTCAATACATTGTTATAAATATTACTTTATATAATTTTATGTCTCTAAAGAATCTGAGAGAAGAAATGAGATCAAGGATATATTTATAGCTATTACTATATTAATTTTCTTATTTATCATTTCTGATTCTCTTCATTTGTTCTTCTGGTTTTGAATTATCATCAGGAGTAATTTCTTTAGCCCAATTCAACTTTGCTCCAACCCACCTGTCCTGTTATTGGCAAATATATTACATTTCTGTATATTATAGCTTTGTAATACATTATATATATATTATTTTATAAAATTGATTT